TTTTTTTTTTTTTTGACCTTTTAATTGAGTGTTGTACTATGAGAGACGTTATTGTTTTTTAATGAAATTTTATGATTTTTGTATTGCTTTGTGACTCCTAATTGCTCTCTATTCTATAGTTTGAATGTTATAATGGGAAAAGGGTTTAATACTTTAATTGCAGTTTTGACCCGGTAATTATAACGTGTGGCATAATATTTTGTCAAGTATTGCATGTTATAATGGGAAAATGCTAATTAGGTCCCGTTACGTGATGGTTCAGTCAGCGTTTTTCGTTATTGGACACACGTGTACATAATATACAGTAATACCATTCCGTCAACAAGATTGTAGTCGTTCCGTTATATTGATTCTGATCCAATATTTTTTTTTTATGATACTCACAATTAATTTGCAAAGGTACATATATTAATTTTTTTTTAATTATTTTCAATTTGGAATTAAGGTTTCACATAACTAGATTGATGAAAACGAAAATTTTACAACAAAATCAAGGAGAAACGACTTATGTGGCCAAATTTATTTATTTATTTATTTATTTATTTATTTATTTATTTTAGACTTCATAACTTCAAATGTGCTAAGGACTTGTGATAATAAGTTGAGTTTTCCATATTTTGTCTTATTATACCCTTTTCAAATAAGTATAATAGTAAATAATATAATCATTATAATAATGGAAAATCTATCTCCTATTTATTTTTTATTTTTTTTTTAAATAGGTCATAATTTGCTTGCATGCTGCATAAGACAAAGCTACTTGTTTTGGAGTGTTTTTATCATAACAGATAAAGATAAGAAGATTCTGTGCGGGAATTATGCAGCATTATTTCAAAGTTATAATTGGATATATATAATATATATATTTTATTTAATATTACAAATTATTCCCAATCAGATTTGGTTTTTTCTTACAGCTGCAAATTTGACTTTCGGCCGTCTCACCATGTGCTGTCTGCTTTTTTTATATGTCCCAATAATATGAATTTAAAGAATTATTACTCTCTCCCAATAATGTATCATTTTTTGAAATACGTCAACTTAGTATACCAATATGGATATATATCCATAGTTGTCAACAATATTTGTTCAACTTGATAGCAAATTGCTCCTCTGGACCGGTTGAACAGCGAACCACGAACTTCCATTAGCACGGAGAGCTCCGAAGACTTGTCTCCCGACAAAAAAGTCTTCGAGTCAGTGATGTCCATTATAATACCGAGAGTATGTATGCCAGTCATTGTACACGTATGTGTGTTGTGTAAAGTAAATAACCTAGATATTCTTATTTACCTAGGGTAATTTGGTGGCTAAGAGAGTTCTAGTTAGGAAAGAGATTTTCTTGTATCGATAACTTTCTGATCTCCTGAATCTGAGAGTCCTCATCAATGTGTACTTCTCATCCATGAAGGATTATTTCCTCTCATGTTGCCGACTCTTAAGTTTCGAGGTCGTCAACCTGACATCTGCACCTACCTGCCATTAGGCTTATCCAGGTTATAACCACGATCTAATTTCAATCGTCCTACAGGTAGTGAGGTCTCTCCTGTAATTTAGCTCCTTAGATCTCCTGACCTCTGAACTACCTGAATTTCTGTGGTACTGTCTGAGCTCTCTTGATCTCTTGACCTCCGAGTTGATCTAGATCTCTCTGGTGTTCGAGCTCCCTTGGTATACCGACCTCTGAGCTAGACGGGGCGTGTCGTAAGGTGTAAGTACTAAATTGGATGAAGCTCTCTTGAACCGTCTATGACCAAATACTAACCCTTCTGGTTAGCTAACCGAGCTATTTTAGATGTTATACCATAACTATAGAATACTTGCACCGGGTAATTTACTGTTTACGGTTGAAAAGTTCTTACTTAGCCTTGTGGCAGATTTTGATTTAAGATGGTCGACTAGAGTAACAAAGGAAATTCATCTATCATTTATGTTTCATGTGGAATTATCCATTGAATTTATGTGCAGTTGTTAATCTAAATGAAAGGAGAGAAAATATTGGTGAATAATATGTGCATATCAATGAAGTAGTTTGTTAAATTTAGGGCTGCAAATGAGTCGAGCGCCTCGACTCGAGCTCGAGTCTCGAGCGGCCCGAGCACGAACTCGAGTCGAGCTCGAGCCCATATTTTGCCTTGTCGAGCGGCTCGAGATATACGTTAATTATTAAAATACCCTTTATTATATATATTAGCATAGGTGCTTAATTGTAATTTTACCTAATTTTCGAGCCGAGCTCGAGCTATTTTATATTTTTATCGAGTCGAGCTCGAGCCTAAAAAATTGAGCTCGACGAGTTCAAGCAGCTAAAAAAAACTCAATCCTGCTCGATAAGACCAATGTTCGACTCGGTTCGACTCTTTTTGCATATCTAATTAGATTCCATGTTACGTGTGAAACTGCACTACCGATATACTCATTACTTTATGTAGTAGTTATTTAAATTTTTTATGAAAAAATTCTTATTAAGTTGTGTGCCTTAGATTTCAAATCTTCAACCATATATTCATTTTACGCCGTCAAAATCTTTTTCACCCCATTATAAATCTATTCTTTCTTTTTCACATCGCCCCATCAAATAACTTCTTTTACACCCCAAAGCTCACGAAATGCTATGCGATATTACACTCGCATGTCCAAAGGAACCAGCGCATATCCAATCGGCCGCATAATTTATGACTATGCGTAAACATTTCGCATTTTTTTAATCGCATATCCACATCAAACGCATAATTTATAATGTGCGAACATCTTTTGCATTTTTAGTAATCGCATATACAAATCGATTTGCAGCATAATTTACGATGATTATGCGCCTTCTTTTCGCAGGGCTATATCAACCTTGCAAATTTATGACTGCGAAAATATTTCGCATCTAATTCGCATAGTTTGTTGAATACGCATTTTCTGGTAATTGCATATCCAAGTCAATCGCATAATTTACTAAATATGCGAAACAATTTCGCATATATCCTCCGGATAATTGACAATTATGTGACAATTTTTTCGCTCGCATATTTAAGAATCGCATAATACCAAATCGAATAAAGCATATTTTTTTTTACGATTATGCGTCACTTTTTCGCAGGGCCATATCGACCTGGCAATTTTACGACTATTCGGAATTCGTTCGCAGATCTTTCGCATAGGTTGCGCACCTCATTAATTGACTGCTTTTTCACAGGTGAGGATTTGGTCTCTGCATTTATCATGCAGGCAAAAAACAGTGATCTCTAACAATTTAACGCCTGCACCATTCATCTACTGCATTTTTCTGTTTCTTTTTTTTTTTGGTCTTTTTGTTGTTCACTTATTTGAATGGCTAGCAACCATGTTAGAGTATTGGTGCACTTTGGTGGTTCGTTTTGCGAGGGTTCATATCTTGGTGGAATGGCAGAGCTGATGAGAATGAATTACGGCCGACAAATATATTCTGAAGTAGTTTCTCGTGCTCAAGCATTATTGAAGGCCGATCCTTGTAATTTGTGTACATATTATGGGCAGTATTTGATGGAAGGGAACGAGTTGTGAAGATGAAAATCGAATCCAGTGAGGATATCTTAGAGCTGATTGAAGAACAAAGAAATCCCAACATTTACGTGGAGTTGGAGAAGCGAGTAAATGTAGGGATTCTGGGGATGGCGAAACAAAGCTTCACGCAAATGATGGCGTCCCGAGGTGTATTTCCGAGTTCTTTTGGTGTTTGTAGTTCTGCATTTTCCCACGAGGCCCCATATTCACATCAAGCAGACCCTAGTTCATTT